TAGGATAGGCTAGGATAGTAAGAGCGAAAGGTTTATTTCAACCTTTTTTTTATTACAATAAAATCGTTGATGTTATATGATATTCGAAATGATAATGCAGTTTATGAAACCACCTTTTTACCTACTAACAAAAAGTTTTTTTGCCATTATAGCCCTACTAAAATACAGTATTGCGCTGTTAGTGTAGATCATTCGATTGGTTACATGAGATTGGAAATTTTAGGAAATCCGCTAATACGGATGTCACGTGGATTTTAGCATTATCCGATTTCAGCATCATCCTGACATTTATTTTTTAATTGATATTTATTTACAATATGATACAACATATACACTTATCTATCACAAACCCTACCAAAAAAACCAATCTAACAATATACGCCGTTTTAAGCTTGTTGTATAATGAATGCACTTACCCATCGTTAACATCACCAAAAAACCTAATCTAATCCTAATCCTAATCTAGCCCTAAATTCACTACTAACTCAACTATAATTTTAAACCTACTCAATCATCCTAACTAAGATTGCTTGCCAAATCTTGATTTATACCCGGGTATATAAGTGTGAGGGTATCATACTTATATACCCGGACATGTAACTGAGTACTCGGGTACATGACATGAACTAGAGGAATACCCAGATACAGATGTCACAAAAATACGGTAAATATGTCATTGATTAATTCGAAATCTGAAACCTACAAGATTCAGTAATTTTGAAAATTAAGGAATCACCAGCCAATGTAGCCATGGCATCTAGAAATCAACAAAAAGAAGTGAAAGAACATACGAATTACGAACAAAGAGCCAAAACATACGGAAGTAAGAAAGTTCAAAATGCCAATACCAACAATGAAGGTAAGGTATCAGTAAATGCAAGAAACCTACAAATAGCAACAATAACACCGAAATCGTGACCACCAGCCAACATAACCACATCACCTAGAAATCAACAAAGAGAAGTGAAAGTACATATGAATTACGAACAAAGAGCCAAAATAGTACGGAAGTAAGAAAGTTTAAAATGCCAATACTAACAATGAAGGTATTAACAAATACAAAGAAACCTACAAATGGCAGCAATGACACCAAAATCGTGACCACCAGCCAATATAACTATGGCATCTAGAAATCAACAAAAAGAAGTAAAAATATATATGAATTATAAACAAAGAGCCAAAACGATAGTATTAGCAGCTACACACCAGGGCACTACAGAAACGACACGACAACACCAAAAATTAGCAACACCAACAAAGAACGGTACCAGAAATCGATGCCACCAACAAATGACGACACCAGAAAGGGAAGAATACTAGACACTGAAGACAAAAAAATAAAATAAAAAAATAAATAAAAAATCTAGTAGTGAAAAAAAAATAATATAAAAAATCTATTGCTGTATATCACATTCTTGCTGATCTATGTAAATAAAGATTCACGTATACTGAAGTATTTTAACATGTTCATGAATCTTAAACATGTTCATGAACCTGAACATGTTCATGAACCTGAACATGTTCATGAACCTAAACATGTCATGAACCTGAACATGTCATGAACCTGAACATGTTCATGAACCTGAACATGTTCATGAACCTGAACATGCTAATTGGACAAAATTAATAACATAATATCTTTTTTGATAATCCAGTCTGAATTAGAAAATCTGATTCTAGAATAATCTCCGTGAAATCCGTGAATTAAAAACTTCACTAAGTATATAACTTCGTTATAGCGAATACACTGTATGTTGTGGTCATTATAGCCATGCTCAAAATATTATCATGTATATAAGTGCTTGTCTTCACCCTTAGTTGAGAGTAACTTTCGCTCTCCTAAATTCCTCAATAAATATAGATCATATACTAAGCTCTCTCTTACGATGGTTACAATATACGTAATGTCTGATTGAAGAAAAAGAGGTACTCGCAAGAATAGTTCTAATTATTATAGATCAGAACACTGTGACTAACTATATTGAATTACAATTTATTATAATCTATTCATAGGGAAAAGTCAACATATTTGAATAATTCAAATATGGTTATCATTATGAACATGAAATTGATGCTAAAAGGGATAGGATGTTCATTTATCATCAAACATTCAGATATGAGTATGTGAGAGTGAAAACCTGTAATTTATCATAATAATTTATTACTGTATTATGATCAGTTACAGGTTTTCACTTTTATGCACTCATATAATAATTATATGTAGCAAAGTTTATCAAGTTTATTAGCTATCATTTAGGAATTTAGGTCGAAACAGACATAAGTATTTGAAATTGGTTAAGGCAAGTAATCTTACAATGTATTTCCATATTTAATAACTATTCAAGTTTGCAAATAGTTTATTATTTAAATTTATTTATTTTTTTTTCTGTTTTATTTAATTGTGTATATTGCTTCAACAAGCGTATATTTAACATATGATCTAAATATATCAATCTGAGAATGGACAAGCGAAGATAAGAAAGTTTATAATTGCAAGAAAGAATTTCAATTTAGAACTACTTGGTATGAATATATGATTAAGCAGATTCTATTTAATAAAATTTTATTTATTTATTTATTTTGATATATTTCTATCTCTATAATAACTAGATTGCTTTAAATACGAAGCCAAATCTACCTTACTGATTATTTAAATATTTTCTGTAAAGTTATTGCTATGTACTACAAAATAAATCTTATTTTTAGTCATCACAACCTTTATTAAGATACGACGTTACCTTTAGTCCACATATTGATATGATTAATAAAACAATAATAGTCTTTATACATATTATTACTAATCGGCATTCCTTTGCCTAGCATTAAGAATTAATGAACTGACACGAGATAATGATATAATTTATACAAAAAAATAGCAGTGTGCGCCGATGTACTGTAAATCAAAAAAAATTGAAAAAAAATATTTTTGGTTTGGTTGTTTCCTCCGAAGGTTCATCTTAACACAGTGTTATTCTTACTAATGAATCCTATAATATTCAGAATATGCAAGCCATAAACATTAGTAAAGCTTATTACTATTATAATAGCACGTCAAACTGTATTCACATTCTAAATATTAAATATAATGCTTCAATATTTTTTTTTTTTTTTTTTTGGTGTTAAGGTGAGGCCTTGCTCATATCTTTATTGGGTAGTTTATACAAGTGATTAC